AAAAGAAAAACTCATACCTAATAACAGAATCATGTTGTGTCATGTGGTATCTCCTCAACCATAGTTTTACAAACTGAAATATCGATTTTGTCATTCTTCTTCCGGTACATGAAGGTGTTGTTTGTTTTTTTTAAAGTAAAAATTCATAAAATCTGCGGACAACCTCTGCAACCCTGTGCAGTAGAAAATGTAGAGCAAACTGCTGCAAACTATAGTAAGAAACATTTTTGTTTTTTAACATATTTATGCTGCTAAAAATATTAAAAAATTAAAATAAAGTGATTTTATAAACCGAAATTGTTTTTTAATACCGAAAAATTAATAATGTATGACATTTCAGTAAGAATTTATAATATTTCAACAAAAATAATGATATTTCAACAAAAAAAAAATAAAGATATTAAAGCAAAAAAAAAATGATATTTCATCAAGAAATTATCATTATTCAATATAATAAATTGAAAAAAAAAAGAATTCAACAAAAATAAAGAAAAAAAATTAAAAAAAAAAGTAAAATAAGAATTCAACAACATATAATAAAGATTTCATAAGAAAAAAGAAGAAGAAAATGTTGGAAGAGGTAATATTACTGTTGCGTCAAACAGAGCGCGCGCAAAGGTTTTTTTATCTGATGACTTTTAAAAAACAAACAACTACCAGATTAAAAGTGTTGTGTTTGTGTTGCGCCACGTAACAATAAGAGGTATAGAGATGTTTTTCTAAAAAAAAACAAACAATACCTAAATCTAGTGTTGATTGTCTTCCTGATTTTTTTGTTCTATTTTTATAATAATAGAAGTTTACTTCTAAATTAATGGAATGCCGTTCTTTTGTCAAACAAAACGTTTCATCTTCAACTCTCTCCATATAATGTATGCATTGATTGTTAATTTTTGTTAAATATTCTCATGTTATACATAGAGGATATTTTAGTTATAACCATTAATATTTTGATATTTAAGAAATATATATATATATATATATATATATATATATATATATATATATATATATATATATATATATATATGATCAATATATGATATTTTGATGTTTAAAAGGTATATACGATATTTTAAAATTTTATAAAGAATAAGTATAATATTAAAAATTAAGTTGAGAAAATATTATATTTTGATGAATATATATGAAATTATTTTTTTCTACGGATATTAGCCTAGTAATAATGGCCTAGTAGATTATAAAATAAATAAATAAATGTTACAACAAAAATAGGATCTATGTAAATTCTTGGGTATTTCTCAATTCTCGCCGACCAATCTCATGAAAAACAATTAAGAAAATCATAGTTATCTTATCTCGATAGTCCGCTTAACAAAACTTTTAAAGAAACGGTAAAAAAGTAATGCTATGATATTAGAAAATTCAAAATATACATTTAAAAAAGATCCATGTGATATAAGTATTATTGAATTATTTAGCTTTAGCCGACCTAAAAACATTTTATAATTAGAATTAGTTAATTGAAAAGGCTATTTCGTAAATAATTGTTTTTGGGCCTACTTTGTCCGGTGGACAACCTAAAAGGAAAACAATTATAGGTCACGTTTAAAGCAATTACTTAGACCCAACACAAATCAATTATTTAATATAAAATAATTAACAAAAACAGAAAGTTCAGATGCAGCCACGCATTATCATTAAACAAAATCACGTACATGGCATCAATTATTACATTGAATTATAGCACAATACATATTTAGAAATCAGAAAATTAAATATAGAAAAAATCACAAAAATAGGAAGGTGGTATTTAATAAAATATGAATTTATTAGCTTTTAGAATAATAACGAAAATTTCACATTGAATCCGATTACGATTGCGAAAAGACTCCAACTACCAAAAAGATTTTTTTTTTTTTTTAGTTTATATAATTGTGATATTTTTATATCATTGGGAAATTATTCATGAGATTACAAAATTGTCTATGTTATTACCAAACCTAGTTATTTTTAATTGATTTCCTTTGAATTTATTTATGGGGTGGACCGGTGGAGGACTGAAGATTATTTAAAACATTATTTCCGTGTTAATAATTGATTTCGTAGCGGTCCTTTTACGAAATAGATGATAATCATGTAAAAGTAAAAAACGTATTTATTAATACTCTTTCGCAAAGTTGATCAAATTGAGTTTTATTATTATTATTATTATTACTATTATTATTATTATTATTATTATACATAGTTTATCAAATTGAGTTTTTTTTTTTTTTTTTTATTATTAGTAGGGTTATATTTTAGACGCACCAATCTACAATACTAAACTATATTATTAGGTCTACAATACACACCAGTCTATTATATTATAATTAATTTCATGCTATTTTTTTATCATTATTATTTTATTATCTTACAATTTAGTCTAATCATTATACTTAATAATTATCTTACAACCTAATTATTTTATAAACTTTATTATTTAGCTGCTATATTATTTAATAATTATAATTTTATTACTAATTAATCAATTATATTTACTTTTTGCTATTTAAATATTTTATTTCATACTTATTTTTCATTTGTAAAATAAGTTAAAAAAACAAATATATAAAATTATTATATTTTACGAACATTAAATCATTAAATCAACATATATTAAATTACAACATGGATCACAATGTATATTTTTATTTAATATTCAAAAAATTATAGGTTTATTTTATGAATTTGTAATTTATATATAATTAAAATCCCATTAAAAAATTAACTAAAAATAAAAATGTTTATAATTTGATTAAATATTCCGTCGACGATAACGCCAAAATAGAAGACATTCGGTACATTAAACAATTATGTATATAAAAATTATATGTCGCCGTCGCTTTGCTAGACCACCAAAACCACCAAGCCGCTGACGTTCGACAACTAGGTGTTACATTGTCACCGCTGTCATATTTTTTATAATTTTTTCTTATTTTTTTTAACTTTTATTTAAGCTTTTTACAATGTTTGAATATATATTTTTTATACTTTTTTCATAAAAAAACTTCATAAAAATAATTCATGAGTTGTAAAAAAAGTTTCAGATTCAGATGGTTTGATTTTGTTAAAAGCGGGGTTTGGATAAACTAACAAAATATCATAAAGTTAAAATTAAATAATATAAATGAACATAACGTCACAAAGTTTAAAAAAAAAAAACAAAATGTTAAAAAATAAATTAAAAAAAGACAACAACAATAATATAGTTTTTATAATATAATAACATAAATAATATTATAAAAAAATAAAATTCCAAATAAACTTTCATCAAACTAATATCATTGATATTATAAATAATATTATAAGAAAAATAAAATCAAAACAAATCTTCATCATTTTTTTCATTTTAAATATTAGATAACAAAAACTGAAACAAAAATAAACAACGACTAATCATCTATAGTCATAAAAATAGTGTTTACGTGTGGTACAAAAAAAATGAACACAAAAGAATAGATACATAAAAAAAGAAGCGTATGTTATTAACATAGTTAATATAATTATAAAATGATGAATAAAAAAATAAAAAAATATAATTGCATCAAGTAAAGAAAAAAAAACATGCTTTGAGCAACAAAATAACAAGAAAAAAAGGGTACATATCTTGAAGAAAAAAAATATTAAGAAAAAAAACAAACTAGAATGAATATGGTAATTTTCTTCATTTGAGGGCAAACAATTGTAAAAGAAAAGAGATCACAAAATGAAATTATATGTAGTACACGTGGATATTAATGGGAATTTGTGATAAGGTTTTATGTGTGAGAAAATACGGGCTATAAGCATAAAATGGAGCGTATATTGAAAAATTTAGACATAAAAAATTAAAATTTCAGATATAGACATGCCTTTTGCGGAGAACCTTCTGTGGACCTCCGCAGAACCATGAATCCTCCGCGGAGAAGCGTAGTTTTGTAATTTCACCCCCATCTTTTTGAGAAAATTCAGTCCTCTTCTTTGGGCCCCAACTGGTCCCCTGATTCTGCTTTGGCAAAAACCTTACTCCGCATCAACTGTTGATATCGAGGATTCCGGCGACGACTTCAAATCTGACGACAACAACATCGGACGACGTATTTGTCGGCAATTCGAGTATATTCGACTTAAAATCCAGCACTGATGGAGGACGATTTCCCCGATTTTAGTTGATGGATTCGGCTCCCGGGTATTTCTCACATCCCCCTCGTTTGGAATATTCTTAGAAATGCATATCCTACATGGTGATCCCTTACTTGTGCATTTGATGAAGTTGTACGAAGTAAAGTCTCAACAAGTCTTTGAAATGGGGAGATTTCTTTTTGATATATAGGGGATGCAGTTGGATTTTGGTGAAACTGAATATATTCTAATTTGTGGTTTAAAAATTGGTCCTTATGTTGATTTACTCTATGAAGAAAAAGGCTGGTCAAATTCAAATCTTCGTGCTCAGTTGCTCCCATATATTTCTAATGCACGTTTGTGGCTGAAAGATTTAGAAAAATACATTATGTCTCCGAATTATTTATCACTTCAGGATGAAAATGCTGTAATGCTTATCCAACTTGTTTTTATGTTGAAAGGTCTCCACGGACAGGACGTTAAATCGGACATTCCCGCGGCAGTATATAAGCTTGCTGGTAATATAGATGATTGGAACATTTATTACATTTAAAGATTGTGTATAAACACAATAATAGTAATTATAAAAAATAAGTTGAAAATTGCAGGTTTGCATGGAGTACATATTTCTGGACCTATACTTTGTGGTTGATGCGTGGAATGTTTAAGAAAATAGAAGAATTTAGACTATTCAAACAGGTCAACCCCGAATCCAAGAAAGTACACAAGTATACAGTTCCCAGTTTTATGCTTCCATTTAAGGCCGGTTTCTAAGCCATTTAAATCATTATCGTAGTTTAGTTTATGCTTACATTTTTTTTCCATAAATATGGATTTTGGAGACATTCCTCAAGGCAACCCAGTTTTATATACACACGCCGACAGAATTGCCACGGATGAGGTCATGGAGAAGTAAAACACCGTTAACTTGGGTTCAATGTTGTCGAATAATCAACGCGTCTTTGGTATGCTTTTAATATTAAGGATTATATATATCTACAAATTCCAATGTTTTTCATGTTAAACTAACAATCTGATTTTTGCAGCCTAACAACCAACTTATTTTTGTCGTGGCAAACCTAACTGAGTTGATGTTGTCGTTTTATGTTCGCTACGTGAATTGGACTCTTAACCATCAAGAGTCTCCCCCACGACAACATACTCCGGCCCGAAATAGTCCAGAGTCTCCCCCACCACATCATAGTCCAGTCCGAAATAGTCCACCTGTTGTTGCCTCGCCTCCTCGAAGAAAGAAGTACATGTCGGAAACATCTTCGACTGAATCTGGCACAAATGCTTCTTCCTCGCAACATGTTGAAATAGAAAGAACTTATATGTCAACCGACATATTAACAAGGTTGGTAAAGAAGAAGAAGACAAGCACAAAGGCATTAGTGAAGCGTCTACTAGGCTTTGTGGCTAACTTATCTTCTAAAGTAGATCGTCTATTAAAGAAAAAAGATGAACTAGACACAGGGTTTGGAGACTTGGAGGATGAGGAGGAGATGATAAACGAAGAGGATGAAGAAACATATTACCATTGTACACAGTTGAACTATGATGATATAAGTAGTCATGGTTTGGAGGGGGGAAGTTGGGCATACACCTACGCATTCGTTCACAGTGGTACAAAACTCATATTTTAAGTTTGGTATATTTATAAAATATTACATTATTGATAATTATTTAACATGTTAATTTTTTAGATGCAATCCACACCAAAAGTGAAGAAAAACACCAGAACAAGGAAAAAAAGCAGTGGAGAGTCTTGAAAAAGCAAATGAAGACATTGTTAATGAAGAGATTAATGATGTTTCAAATCAACTCTTTTTGGACAGTGTTCATGCTGCTAGTGCGCTGAATTTTTGGAAAGAATAGAGTATGATGTCTTCCAACCTCAACACCAAACATAGGCTGCATATACTCCCATTGTATGTGGAGTTTTGTTCGAGGTTACTTGCAGTTACTGACTCTGGGTGGTTACTTTCTTCGGTAACATTCGTTAAATTTAAATTTTAACTACTTTATTAGACGATTATTAATATAAATAATTGTAACATTTTTATCTTAAAATGTACAACATATGGTTATATGGAGTGTCATGCTCATGGAAAGACGGCCGACGAACTCTAGGTGGACGATATATCCTCAAGAAATCAATTTGCAACTCAGAAAACGATTTCTTTTTAGGCATGTAACAAATGGTGTTGGAGGTCGTCCTAAATATAAGGAAGTGAATATGGTTAGTTAGTTTTAACAGTGATTTATTTAAATATTAAATATTAATCAATTTACGACTATTTAATTTATTTTTTGTTTGCAGGTTCTATTCCCCATAAATGTTGTTGCTACCCATTGGTTTATGACAGTGCTACATTTAGATACCTGGAAAGTAGATATTTATGACTTAACACGATTCATGAATTTCTTCTCAAAGTACCTTAGTGGTGGAGAATTCAAAAGTTTTGGAGATAGTATTATCTCAGAGTTAGATGTCATTGAGTACTGGAACAATTTCCGGGTTGGAGACAAAGACAAAGCAACTATGGAGTTTATTGATATTGTAGACGCGCCACAACATGAATATACTCTTGATAGAGGGGATTGTGGAGTAATTGTATGCATGTTTATGGAAATGATTGTTTCGGGGGTACTGGTGAAGATTGATAACGTAGAGATGCGGGATTTCTCTACAGAAATAGGATGACAAATATTATTTGGGATACTATATAAGTTGATTTTGGGAACTTTATATATATATATATATATATATATATATATATATATATATATATATATATATATATATATATATATTAATATGAAATACTTGTTTTTAGTAATTTTGTTTAATACAAATATGTGTTTTTTTTGTTATACAATCAAACAAAATAAACATTACAAATAAAATAAAAACATTACAAAAAAAAAAAATCATAAACATAAACATTACGACTAACAAACATTACATAAAGGATTAGAAATACAGAAACAGTCGTCTACATGAAAAAATGTTTATTTTTAACCGGATTCCAAACGTTTGTATACTCGGAATCAGTTCCATCGAACACACACATGTAATATCCGTTCACGTCTCTTAGAAGTTCTTCATCGTCTGCATCAGAGCGTCTCATTTTCTCATAATTGTAGCATTGATTAAACCATGTTACTAGTCTTTCAATCCATCCATTTACTAACAATATCGCGTTTTAGCCGTTGTTGTCCTTGTCCCACCTCATTGTTGAACAAAGTTATTAGGCGGGACCATTCATCACCAACAAGGCAATTACGGGGAGCCATTACTAGTAGACCCTCGTAAATTGTAATCCAACATTGTGTTAGGACCAACACCTCTGATGTTATCCATGCAGATGGGCCATTTGTTGGAGGTGAGGCATTGGATGGATTTGCTGCATTCGAAGAAGTTGGTACATTGGACACCATTTTGTGAAAGGATCCCTATTTCCAATTGAAGATGTGAATTTCATATAGATAGAAGGTTTACTATATATAAAAATATAGGTTATGCGGATTAATAAGTCAGTTATGCGGACTATCAAGTCAGTTACGCGGACTGACAAATCAGTTATGCGAACTCTCAAGTCAGTAATGTGGACTGACAAATCAGTTATGCAGACTAGCAAGTTAGTACCACGGACCGACAAGGTTTACTATATATAAACAGATAGGTTATGCGTACTGAAAAGTCAATTATGCAGGCTGTCAAGTCAGTTATGCGTGCTGTCAAATCAGTTATGCAGACTAGCAAATCCGTTATGCGGACTCTCAAGTCATTAATGCGGACTGACAAATTAGTTATGAGGACTGTCGAGTCAGTATTGCGGGCTAACAATGTTTACTATATATAAAAAGATAGGTTATGTGGACTGACAAGTCACTTCTGCAGAATAATGTATACCGATTCCTTTTAAATTGGACAAGCATTTTCATTTTTACAAGGTGTCGAAAGTTTTGAAAATGAGTTAAGTCAATCAAGTATTAATAAAAAGTTTGTCCAACCTACCGAGTTTTTTCCATAATCTGCAAAAAACCAATCCTAACACCTTCACGTACATTACGAAAGATCAGTACAATCATTTCAAAATTTTCTTTGTGGCATTAGGATGCGTGGTATGTAATCCCTTATAGTAAATATTTACTTATTTGAAGTTGTTATATGGCTAATATTCTTATCTTCACTTGCTGATTCGTACGTTTCTCACGTCTATGATACCAATAATATTCATTGGTCAAGTACCTCTAATTGGGACGTACGTAACATCCATGTACATTGCGGTTGCTTTAGATGGAAATCATGAACCCCTTCTCATAGCATTTGCTTTGGGAACCATAAACTGTGATTATTCATGGTTATGGTTCATGAGGAGGCTTAAAGAATGTTTAAGTGTCAATATGGAAGTTGGTTTCATAAGCCATATGTCTAATTACATAGACTTTACTGTTCAAAGAGTCTACCCTGATTCATATCATGGCAATTGTTGTAAACATATAGCTGAGAAAATAAGCACTTCCACCAGAAGCAATACAGTTGTAGAGCAACTGTTCTGGAAGACTTGTAAAGCGTATAATACATCTGATTTTTATGCATGTTTTAACAACATACAACATGAGGTGAATGAGAATGATCTTGATTGGCTTTGATAAAGTTGTCATATGATTATAATAAAGAGAAAATACAAGGGTTCTCAATGAAAAGCATAAAGACTACAAAGGATAAAGCGGATATCAATACTAGCTAGAGAAAACCCTAATGGGCTAAAGACTAAAGGGTCCATAAGCAAGTGGGCTAATAATATATAGGATTACATCTCCCCTCAAACTCATAATGCCACAACAATAAGCACTGAGAGTTTGTCACGTAAGAACCGAAACCAAGAAGCCGATAGAGCCTTCATGAAAATATCCGCAATCTGCAAAGTTGATGAAACAAACGGAAGCGATATGGTCCCGGGCTGCAGGTGATGAAGGGTAAAATGATAATTAATCTCAATGTGCTTCGTCTGCTCATGAAAAATAGAATTCTTTGCAATTTTTATCGCACTTTTGTTATCACAATGCAAGGGAGTAGATGAAGAAATATGAACTCCCATATCCGCAAGCAGCCACCGTAACCAGATAATCTCAAATGTAGTTACAACCATAGCACAATATTCAGCCTCCATGGAAGATCTGGAGACAACATCCTGTTTCTTGATCTTACACGAAATGTGAGACTCTCCAAGAAATACGCAAAATCCAGTGGTGGACTTACGATCATGGCGATCACCATCCCAATCAGCATCACTATATGCACGTAACTCAAGAGAAGATGAAGAGGGAAACAATAGGGTCTGAAACTGAGTGCCATGAAGATATCTCAGAATACGAAGAAAAGCTCCCTAATTAACAGAGGTAGGGGCAGTTACAAACTGACTGACAACATGAACAGCATGGGCAATATCTGGACGAGTAACTATGAGATATACCAAACTTCCCACAACAGTGCGATAAAGGTTTGGATCAGACAAAGGAACACCATCAGTAGGAGAGTAGCGTGTATTAGTTTCCAGGGGAGTATCAGCAGTCCGATTGTCAGAGAGGCCCTCCCGTGTAAATAAGTCAGATATATATTTAGTCTGAGAAAGAAGATACCATTTCATAGACCGAGCTACCTCAATACCCAAGAAATAACGCAGCAAGCCCAAATCCTTCATAGCAAATCGATGAGCTAGATCATGCTTCAAAGACTCAATACCACCGTGGTCATCACCTGTAATAATCATGTCATCCACATATAAGGATAAAAGAATTCGTCCTGCACTCGAGCATCTAACAAACAAAGCAGAATCATGATTACTTTGGACAAATCCAAGAGAGGTAATCACTATGTAGAATTTCTCAAACCAAGCACGAGGGGCTTGCTTGAGACCATACAAAGCTTTGCGTAGCTGACAAACCTCACCCAACCGATGCTGAATTCCTGGGGAGGATTCATATAAACCTCTTCAAGGAGATCACCATTCAAAAAAGCATTCTTGACATCCATTTGAAAAATCTTCCACGGTAGAAAGGAAGAAACTACAATCATAGTACGGACTATCATCATCTTTGCAACTGGGGCAAATGTCTTATCATAGTCAAAACCATACTGTTGAGAATACCCTTTTGCTACAAGGCTGGCCTTGTACCACTCAACAGATTCATCAGCTTTTGTTTTTATCTTGTACACTCAACAACAACCTATCGTATGTTTCCCAGGAGGAAGAGAAACCAAATCCCATTTATGAGTCTAATGAAGAGCAGTGAATTCCTTAGCCATAGCATTCTACCAAAGAGGATCTAAAACAGCTTCTCTATATGATTTAGGTTCAGACAGATGATGGATACTCTATATAAATGAAGCAAATGGTCCTAAATATGTATAGTAAGTAAAATCTAGAAGCTTGGTGGACTTGAGAGGACGAGTAGATCTGTAGAGGTGTGGTGGTGGAGGTGGATCCTCAATTTCAACAATCGGAGGAGCAGGCTCAGGAATAAGGGAACTTGAGGAACTCTCTGAAGAGATGGGTGTATCATGAGCTGAAGAATCAGGTGGCATAGATGGATCTCGAGCCTCTATCTCTTCATTAAAAGGATCAATATGCAGAAGATCGGATTTCATTACATTGTGGGTTGTAGTAGGAATTGAGTAGAAAGGAATATGTTCCAAAAAGGGGACATGCCGGGAAACATATAACTTCTAACTCTCAGTATCATAGCAACGGTATCCTTTCTGTCCAATACCATACCCCAAAAATACATAAATAGCAGATTTTGGGCCCCAACTTGTTCCTCTCAACATGAGGACGAAGAACAAAACAAGTGCATCCAAAAACTCAAAAGGAAGAATAGTCTGGTAAATGACCATATTGCTTCTCAAAAGGAGACATTCTTGAATTCAATGAAGTGGGGATACGGTTAATCACATACACATCAGTTAGGACTGCTTCTCCCTAAAAGGCACTAGGGACCTGCACGGACAAGAGCAATGAGCGGGCAGTCTCAACAATATGACGATGTTTCGTTCTGCCACACCGTTTTGCTGAGGTGTGTCAGTACATGAGGACTGGTGTATGGTACCATCAAATCCAAGTAAGTGAGTCAAATCATTAGAGGTATATTCACCCCCTACGTCACACCTGAAGCACTTAATCACAGCCAAATGTTGAGTTTTTACAAGAGCTCTAAAATTACTGTAAATATCAAAGAAATCAGATCTACATTTCATAAGATAAACCAATGTATATCGAGTATAATCATCTATAAAAGATACATAATAGGTTAACCCACCCTTTGTGGATACTGGTGCAGGACCCCATACATCAGAATGAATAATGTCAAAAGGTGCAGTAGAACAAGACATACTTTTATTGAAAAGTAAAGCAGAGAATTTTGCCAGTTTACAACCACTACAATCAGAAATATTACAAGTGTCTAAATGACCCAAAACACCACTAGATGCTAAAAAACTTAAACGTGATACATACACATGTCCCAAACGAGAATGCCAAAGATAAAACTCACACGACAAAGGACTCAAACGGAAAGAAGATAAATCAATGCCGGAGGCAGCAACAATAGAAATTGTTCGAACCTCCAAGACATACAGTTCCCCCACCCTACGGTCGATCCCAAACACCTTCTGGGTGTGTTGATCATGTATAACACAGACAGAATCAGAAAAGAACACCCAGTTACCAGACTTA